TAAAAGTACTAAAAGTACTAAAAGTAACAAAAAGTTTGCTAAATGCTCAAAATGTCAAAATGGTAGCGTATTGCTAAAAGTAAAATATTTGCACAAAGTTAAAYGTACCAAAAGGCTAGCTAAAACATAAAAGTARCAAATGGCTAATTAGAAGCTGAAGGTAGCATAAGACTAGCTAAAACACTAATAAACATAAAAACAACCTGCTGCCTCAGCCTGGTGTGTATTTTGTTTGACCTGCAGGTGGCAGAGCAGCTGTTTGTTAAAGGAGGTCACATTAAACACGCCATCGACATGTACACCTCAGAAGGACGCTGGGAGGATGCTCACAAGGTCAGAATGGACCCAAGGAAATGACATCTTTTCTTATTTATCTCCATATTATATTTACATGATTCACCCTGAAGCTTTGGTGCTGTATGATTCYGTCTCGCACACAGCTGGCAGTCACGTGTATGACGAAGGAGGAAGTCACATCTCTGTACGCCAGCAGAGCTCAGGAGATGGAGAGAGAAGGCAAATTAAAGGAGGCGGAGAGGTGAGCTGACACCAAACTAAAACAACTCTTCAGTTTTTTTACTTTTATTATCACAAGATAAAAAATAAAAACTAGAAGTCTTTAAAAAAAGTGTTTTGTTTTGTTTTTTTTACAGGCTATTTTCTATTGTGAAGCAGCCGGACCTCGCCATCACCATGTACAAGAAGCACCGGATGTTTGATGATGTCATTCGTCTGGTGGCCAAACATCATCCTGACCTGCTGACTGAGACTCACCTCCACCTGGCCAAGGTAACACTCACTACAAGTTGTTTGAAACTGATGGCAGTCCCAGAAAATCAACCTTATCAAACACAAAAACAGTTTTAACCCAATTGGTTTTACAGACATTGGGCCTCATGCAAGTACATTTTTGTATTTTTATCCTAAAGTTCTCTTAATTTTGTTCGTACGAAGGGCTCGTACGAATATGCCACATCAGATTCAACAAATGCTTCTATCCAGTGGTGGGCACTAATCCCCTAAAGCACAAATGCACTAATTGCGGTTCTAAATTTCTTGTCTGCGCTTTAGGGCTTWTGCTAATTTTCTCTAGCAGTGATTTGCGCTTTCTAATTTTAAGCACTAATCTAAAGTTTACTATGACTATTTACCATTATTATCATTAAAAGCAAGGGTAGAAAGTCATCTGAAGTCACAGATAAGATAAATCCATAAATATTAGGGATGCACAATAACTCATTTTAAGAACCGATAACCGATAACCGTGTCCTAAGGCGGGCCTTGTGGGGGGTTCTCCGGGAGTATGGGGTACCGGGCCATTTGATACGGGCTGTCAGGTCCTTGTACGACC